TATATATATATATATATATATATATATATATATTATTTGTTTGTTAGGAAAGATGACGAGACGATTTTGCTGTCATTCAATTGCAGAAGCATCAATAAAAAAATGACAATAAAAATAACAATAAAAATATTTGTGTAGCGCCAAATCCAAAGATTGTCCATGTCGCTTTACATTAAATATTATCAAAAATCTAAAAGAAGGGAGAAAAATGGGAAAAAAGGTAATAGGAAAAAACTTAGTTAAAATTGTAAGACATTTAAACATATTTATCATATAAAAATTAAAAGAGTTAAAAAGCTTGTTAAAAAAGATGTGTTTTTTTTAAATGTCTTTTAAAACTGTCAATGGTGCAGCAACAACAAACGTTCTCTCGCCATAAGTCTTTTGTCTCGCTTTCGGGCTCGCCAGATGGTGTTGAGAAGACGAACGGATGTTTGTGTCCGTTGAGAGGTGTGATAATTAAGTAAGTCACTGATGTTGCAAGGCGCTGTTCCAGTATCAGACAAGTAGTATTAGTGCGGAACTGAGTTAAAACTTGTGATGAGCTGACTCGGCAACGCCACAAATTATGAAAATACCGTTAACTGTTTCAAGTGTATTTCTTTTAAGCAAGCGAGAATTTTAATTTAATAAACGAACTTCGTTGTCATGGGTATGGGACTAAGGTCTATCAATGTACAAAGTATAGGCGAAATTGAATTTTGAGCTTTGTCCGCGATTTCTTCGATTCCTACTGACATTTACTCTTAGGTATTAGAGAAGACAAAGCAGCTTAATTTAGTATTGACTTAATTTTTGTTAGCTGCGAAGAAAAAGACTATTATCGTGTCCTTTCGGTTGGAAAGTAAATTCGTTGCAAATTAACTATAACACAACTATTTCAGAACCAAAGATTAACCTTATTAGTGATAGTTCACACAACATATCTCAATTCAAAAATGATCTTGCTTAGCAAATTGGCATTGTAATGGCAACGCCAAAACTTGTACTCTGATTGGCTAATATTGCCTTCAAACAACACACCTACTCAACTTGTTTGAATTTGAACAAAAACTGCGTCACAGCTGCGCACCTTTCCTATAATCAATTCTTGTTATGTTATAAAACAATACAGTAACACTCCCAATATCTAACTTTTGGTCGCATTTATTTCCCTTTGTCACTTCACTTCACAGAACAAAATGCAGCAACTTCTTGCTATGCTTGGGAAGCTCGTTCAAGCTCTCCTTCAGAAACTACCTTACTGGTGGAAGTTACCGACTGTTTTGATGATTTTTTACCAGTTTCAACAACGAGATTACCTCATGAACAACAACTTATTCGATGGCTACCCTTGCGAAGTCACTGGACCTAAGCAAGATTGCCAGGACCCCGTCATTGGTAAATATATCAGGAACGTAAAAGCTTTAAGTAAAATTCGAACACAGTACCAAGAGTCAAATCAAAGGGTGGGCTTTCAATAATTATTGTGAATTAAGATTAATGTTTATAAGCTTGTTTGCGTTCCACAGTGCCCAACGCCTAATCCGGCAGGGATTTTTACCTTGACCAAAATTTACAGGACTGTAAATGTAAAATTCATTAGTATTAGTATTAGCTGCCGACGCCGGTCTTGGCGATATCATTAAAGACAAAACCGTACAATTTTATTTCGCAATACAAAGCCCTTCTTTTGTAATCTTTCAGTCAGAATAGCTGTTCATTTTCTACCATTTCAACCTACTGCTATCGACGTTTTGAATTTACAATATCTTTAAGACTAAGTCAGACGTGAGCTTCTCCAATTCTCGGTAAACATCTCACCAGTGTTTTGCACCAGGCCACTATATCGCGCAGTCGTGGGATTCAAAGCATGCTACTAACTAATTCAGACTAGTTGCATGTACTACCTTCGCCGATTAAGATGATCATGTGACTTATTATTATCCAGTTTTCTGAAATGAATTGCACTCAGTTGACTAATATTACAATTTCGGGACATAATTTTCATTGCAGGTCACGTGTCTTTGGGCTGCTTCTTCAACAAGAAGTGTTCACCGCTGTCCTATTTGTATGAAAAAGACGGGCTCACGAGGGACGAGTGTGTGCAGCATTGTAAAGACAACAGATACCCGTATGCAGGTTTTGACCACTGCCGCAAATGTTTCTGCGGTACTAATTTCATGACATACGCTCAAATCAATTCGAACGATTGTAAATCGAAGTCAAAGTCAAGGTGTAAGAAAATCAAACGTGGATGTGAAGCTTCTTCGCACATTGAACTCTTCAGAACAAGTAAGAGTTATAGCAAAACGTACATGTACATTCGCAATTGTGTCCTCACTTTTCTGCAAAGCTACTTTCTTTACTTACAGTAGGTCAGTTTCATGTTTCCATTGGGGGACAGAGTTAAATCTGCATCGCTGTGCTTACATGAACTTTGGGCGTTAGCTGACGTTACCATTTTTAATGACTGAGCAAATGCCATCAACCTTTCTGATTTTGTCAAATTGACCGTTGTTCTAGACTCCAACGCTGACGCTCTTTGGGTTCATCACACTGAATCTTCCTAAAATAGAGTGACGAGCTCAAAGGCTAGCTCTGACGATATTTTTACATTGGCATGCTTATTTTTTAGTTTAAATTTTTTTCGATTTTTAATGAAAATTTTACACTTTGTGCGGCAACTTTAAATTTTAAGACAATTTAGTATTGTTGTACTGGCCGGGTTTTGATTACTTTTGGTACATGTAGTTTCCTGGGAAAATTCAGTAATTTAAGATGACGGCTGTTGGGAAATCCTTCTGAATTATTTTTTCAAAAAATTTTGATCGACTTATGAAATGGTTTTAGGGTGCATTTTATACCACAAGATTGAGAACGATAGAATTGTCGAAATAAATCAAGCCCTCGTCAAGTTCGTCAAATCAGTGACAGGAATAAAGTCATCATTTTTCTCGCAGTACCTTTCAACATAGCTGAATTCGAAAAACCTTGCTAACCAAACATTTTCTCTCAAAACAATGATTATTGCGTGAAAAATATTTCACAGTGTCTTTAACATAGTAAATAAAGGGGAATTATGAAGCCCGGCAAACATCAAAGGAAGAAACAAAAATGACATGATCTATATTGGAAGGTCCACGACCGTGCACCAATCATTTGTTTTACGGTCATACGCTATACATAAATTACGAAACCGAAACGTTTCTATATCAGTGGTTTGTTCCTCAGCCCGAAGTGAAGAACTATTGTATTTTGTGCACGGTCAAGGCCAAAAAATGGAACAGGAACATACAACAAAGAAGTTTGTTGAGTTCCATAGCCATTCCCCTCTATTAACTATGTCTTAATTGAACTCAGGTCGACAACAGGTAAAATTCTACACCGCGGGACCAAGTGATTGTAAAGCTATAATTGTGAATATGACTCTTTTAACACAGTGTTCTGTACCGAACAAATGACGAAAACGAGAACTCATGACGGAACATGCAACGATCTGAATCAACCAGCGTCTGGAAGCAGGTTCTATCGGTTTGGACGAAATGTAAACCGCACCAAGACATTTGAGGACAAGAAACTTTTGGAACCATGCCCTAGGGAGTTAAGCAGAAGGTGAGTTTGAAAACAGAGAAAAATCACGTGCCCTGATCGATCTTTTAGATAAGTCAAATCAATTAATCCGTCCCCCTCACATTTGTTCATGTGCAGACAGTACTTCGTTAACGGACCGATGTACTAATGATGACCACTTGAACTTGAACTTTGAACTTAAATTCTATTTTTTTTTCTTACATACAATTTCTTACCCTCGCAACTAGTTCCAGAACTAATCAAAGCGGGGGCATAATAAAAGTCCTAGCTGGAACTGGAATATACATTTGCATGCGTAAGACGAGGGCGCTGGAATTATAACTAATTGGAATGTGAGGTGCATCTTTCAGAGTAAGGAACAGAGATCAAATAAAAAGTGTGGCTGAACCCATGAAATTGGTGGAATAGATATCGGAAAGATGAGCAAGCATTAATTGTTATAGCAATCCAAACTTCACGCTCAAAAATCCTCATGTAGTTGTTACAATTTAGTATAAGACCTGGAGTGGCAGGAAGGTACTTATGTCTCGAGAGCATTAGGAAACAGAAGCTGCCACTGCAGTAATCACGGTTATGAGGTGTTGTTTTATGATGACAACAAAGCACGCTAATGCTTGTACTTGATTCAATCGACTCTCTAATTTAATTGTTTTCTTTTTTTGCTATATTGTCACATAAAGAGCTCCTTTTAATGTGATCATGTGTTTTGTTTTTTCCTAAAAAAAAATGGTTTTCTTGGATCTCAGATTGATGACAAGGGATCAGTTTATTCCAGTTAAGCAGCTAAACCTGTTAGCTGCAGGCTGGATCCAGTTCCAGTTACACGACTGGTTTGACCATGGTCCAGTTGATACTTCACGTCGAATAGACATAGACCTTGACAAAGATGATCCTGTCTATGGAGAACACCACGGGAAGATGTCAATTCCACGAACTAAACCGGACAACTGCCCGAGCAATTCGGTACAAAGAGAACTAAGTGCTTGTCTTTTTTCTTTTCATTCAGTAGAATGTAATACAAGCGATAGTAGTATTCCCAATATTTCTTGGAAAATCCCTTTAAACTTGAAATTAAAGGTTAAGGAAGGCGCTCACTGTCTTTTTTTATTCATAGACGATGTCGCTCAGTGCTGAAATAAAAGAAAAATGACAAAAAATTTTTTTTACACAGGACCTGCATTGATAGCAGTTTTTTTCCTTAAAACTGATGCAGCCATCCTGTATAAATATATTTTAATTATTATTATTATTGTTAATTATTACGTTTTTGTTAGCTTCAAACGAGAATCTATTTTCATTTGATTCATTTACAACAGAGACCATGGGATGTGTTATTTTGTCACGAGCATACGAAACAGATTTCTCAGGATCCCATGACCTCCGTTATCTCTGATCTTAAATGATTTAAAAATCTTTGTGTATGATAAAACTATGGAAGTTTATATACGAAAGCTTACTCTCGAATTTTTGAGACATTGGGCGACAAAACCGACCGCTAAGCATTTGTCGCAAAATCACCCTGAAAATTAGGCCCGATTTCCACCGCTCTCTCGCTACCGATCTATGTTCCACCCCGAGAAGAGTTCGGGAGAGCAGCGCGGACTCGTTTCCCGAACAGCAGCTGGGACTTGAGCCAAGCTGAATATCGAAAACTGCCTATTGTAAGAAATTCTGATGATGTAACTCCGCCCTAAAAATGTATTATTTTCCGCTCAACAGAAGGACACCCCTGCCACCTTTCAGAATGATGTCACCCACTGGTGGGATAGCTCACAGCTGTATGGAAGTGATGAACAAACTAGTGCTAAGCTGCGCAGCTTCCAAAATGGAAAAATGAAAGTTTCAGATAAAGATGGTTTGCTTCCAGTAGATAACAAAACTGGCATTGACCAAACTGGTGAGTTCGGACTGGTATACTATAACGTTTGCCCCATCAGAAATAATGCGTGGAATTTATTTAACAAATAAAGAAGCTTGAGCCGTGTAATACACTCTGATAAAACACGACGGGCGCATTTGAGAACACGAGAGAAATATGGAAGACACGAGCCGCAGGCGAGTGTTTTCTACATTTCTCGAGTGTTCTCAAATGTCCAGAGTGTTCTATCACAGTGTAATACACGACTTAGGCCTCTTCATTTGCTTTATGATATAGATTTTACACGCGCAAAACAAATAAAACACGCTTTTTTCTGTATTCTATACTCTGATAAAACATGGGTTTTTGACCAATCAGAGCGCTCGCAGGGTCCTATCTATATTACAAATGCTAATAATAGTATGTAGCATATTTCATGGCAAATAAAAAAGATCAAGGGTGCCAAAAAGAAATCTATGGCACGGCTATTCCTGTAAGGGAGTATCCTCTTAAGGTTAAAATTATTCGGATCACGCTTAGAACATGATATCGTTGATCAGTGCCTGTAAACTACCTTGTTCATTATAGCTTGCAAGTGCATTGACCTTTATCAAGAGATCAAAGTCTCTTACCTCTATCTTGATATTCATACTTTTCAGTTATATTCTCGAGACAGTCCTAGAGGATTGGTTTGACGGCTCGGTGCATGAGCAAGCTATATTAAACGTTACCCGTGTTTATAAATTGATTGCTTATAAAGGAATCGAAAGGGAGCTGAAATCACTTTTCTGGTAAATTGTCTTTTAATTTTAAATGTCGCATTTAGAAAAAAAAACGAAATTTCTCATTGGAATTCCTTTTGTATATTCTCACTGCTATGCAAAACTCAGTTTCACTGTTAATGAGACAATCAGATGCGAGTAGCTAGATAATCTCGTGCGTCTGTCCAAAATAAACCTTCCCGACAAATAATAAACTCGATATTCGATGCTAAATTCGCCACTTTCTATTAAAATTCATTGACATCTTCCGTATTTGGGAATCAGTCATTCTGTTACGTTTGCACCAAGTATATTTCAGTAGTTTAATAAGAAAGGGGGATAAGTGTTTTATGCATGCACACCCCATAACTTGCACATGGGCGGAGCCGTTAAACCTCACAGCGACTTCTTAACATGTCATCTTCTTGTTAATTCAGTTTACCCTGGACTAACTTGTTTTTTCAGGTTTCAACAACAATTGGTGGGTTGGTCTTAGCCTCGTGCATAATATATTCACCCGTGAACACAACTCCATTTGTGATATGCTGAGGACTTATTATCCTGAGTGGCAAGACCAGAAGCTGTATGACACAGCCAGGTATTTAAATGCCAAGATGGAGTTGTTGGCTCTTGCAATTTTGGGAGTTTTTGACGACCAAAAGATAATATCATGATAAAACGGAATAACCGTATGTCGATGTAAGCAGTGAGGGCGCAAGGACCTAGGCCTGGGTGAATGTATTATATCAGTCAAATAACAGCAGCAATATGAAACACCATAGCATCAAATAATTACTTTGGTAGTATTGGTGACAAATGAATGATTGTGAAAGAGATTATAGCCACAAACTGCCTCTAGTCTTATGAATGTTGATCTGAAGGATGTGTTCCTTGCAAAAGTTTATCTGTGGACAAATATATGTTTGCAGTCTGAAGAAATCCTTCTTTAGCAGCTGATGCTTTTTCTGTCTTTTTTCCTGTGCAGGTTAATCAACACGGCCGTGATTATGAAGATTCACACAGTGGAATGGACCCCAGCCATTCTAAATAACAGTGCTTTGCGGGCCGGCGTACGCGTAAATTTTGGTCTCAGTCCTGGAAAAGAAGTATTTGATTGGCTGGCGGCTCATAACATCAGCGTCAGCGCGAGCAGTGGAATACTGAAGCCAATCGTGGGATCTCCAGCGGACTTCAATGGCGTCCCTTTCTCTCTGACTGAAGAATTCGTTTCAGTTTATCGTATGCATCCACTACTTCCTGATGATTTACATATTCGCTCGTTTTCGACTGGTCAGAAGACAGGCAAATCGTACTCTTTGCCAGAGTATTCTTTCGGCAAGGCCAGAAACGTCATGACTCAAAATACTCTTGATGACATTGTGTATACGTTCGGTGTGGAGCACCCTGGAGCGTTAACTCTTCATAATTACCCAAAAGCCCTGATGAACCTACAGCTACCGAAACACCAACAGAAAGGGGAGGTGAGAAAGACATGATCAAACTAGCTGTTGTTCAATCCAAAGCTGAGAATCAAATGAATTTTATTTTGGCTCACATAAATTAAAACCACTCCCCCACAGTGGTATAGGGACCCTGACTTCGATCCTAACAAGCTCAGTCTTTTCTAGACCTTCAGCGCGCGTTTAACACCGATTAAAAGTCATTTTATTTTGCCAGGGCTTTAAGGAAGAGTTCTGTATATTCGAATTTTTGAGAGCCTCAGAAATATCATAGAAAGTAGTGCTCGACGAAAGGCAGACACTAATTACGAACTGGAGAGGCATTATGAAGTAGAGAACGCTTGCGATGCCGGGATAGCAATACTTGAAACTATATTATCAGTCTGTGAGTAAGTTTGTAAGAGTGTAATCTAAAATTTATTGTTGTTTCTAATCTTCATTCACCCTTTTACCATTCAGACAATTGACCTTGCAACTATTGACATTTTACGTGACCGTGAGCGTGGAATCCCGCGATATAACGAGTTTAGACGGTTGACCAGGCTCAAACCAGTGGAGTCCTTTGAAAAGCTCACACCAAACAGAAAACACTCAGATTTACTGAAAGACTTGTACGACGACGACATCGAGAAATTAGACCTGCTGATTGGCTGTCTAGCGGAAGAGCCTCGACCTGATGGGTACGGATTTGGTGAAACGGCATTCAACATATTTGTTCTTATGGCCAGCCGGAGACTGAAAACCGATCGGTTAGTGAAAGTCATCTTTCAATTTCATTCTTGACGTTTGTTGATTATGCACAATTTGAGTAAGTTTTAAAGCAGGAACTTGGATTAAATGGGCTTAATTAATTGACCTGTCAAGACAAAAGACCGTTCTAACTGACACACTGATAGCTACTGATATGACCGACTATCCAAGTTTAAGTCCTAGTCCGTTCTAGTTGTTTTTCAATTATATTCTGTAGTATATGATTAAAACTACTAAAGGAACATAAAAGGGGAGGAATACCACTTTCAAGGAAAAGGGTCTCAGTGTTCAGTGTGATTAAAATGTCGAACTACTCAGTGAAATATAATCTGCAATAAGTCGACAATCGTGCAGTGTCATTTTGTTGCACAAAGAAAAACAAATTGAAGGTACTTTTGCTACAACCAGAGTGTATACAGGTAACCAAAGTTGCCACGGCAATGTTGGATATTAATATTATAAACACTACCCCGGTGAGAGTTTGTAAGAGCTTATCAGAAAATGAGGTGGGTATGAGCTGTCTCAACTTTGAGTACCAAGACAGAAATATGTGGATAGGGACTGGGGACCAGGTACTGCGTGTCCAAGTATACGATAATGACAATTTTAATTTACTACCCCAGGTTTATGACCGATGACTTTACCAGTGATATTTACACACCCGAGGGTTTGAAGTGGATTCAAGACACAGACATGAGCAATGTGCTTATCCGTGCTTTTCCTGACATCCAATGGCTCAGCGGTGTTTTAGCAAATACCAACAATGCATTTTTCCCTTGGCCAGTTCCCGGCGGGGATATCGCTGGATAACGCCTCGGAGTTTTAGAAAGTTTGCTGTCAATTTTTATCGGTACAAACATCATCGGCGCTTCTTTGTGTTAGTTTGAGGTAGACAGTGGTTGTCAAAATCTGACTTTGTGGAGGGAAAAAATTAAAAAAAATGCCATGACTATCAATTGAACTGTGTGTTGATCATGCGTGTTTTTCACTTCATTCCGGTCGTTTGGTTATTTCTTGTTGTCAAGGAAAAATCACTGAGCGTAGAATTGATCTTGAAGAAAAAGTGAGTTATTAAAATCAAGTTTAGTTGCTATTTGCTTAACTGACTACTTCCGTGTAAACATGAAATGTCTCATGAAAAAGTTATCTTTACGGGTGACTGGATTCGAGTTCCACCGTCCCACTCCACTTTCTTTCACGGTTTTTTTGTTTTTTTGTTTTTTTTGTTTTGTGGTTTTGTTGACCTTTTAATGGCCTTTCTATGCAATGGAAAAGTCTCCTCCTCGACGTCGAGGATGGTCTCACACTTAATCTGGTGATTATGAGAAACTGAAAACAGATGACGTCACGAGTAGCTCGAGAACTATGGTCTTTCGGCCGGGATTTTAAGTCAGCGGTCTCCTCGATTATTAGATCAGCAGTGATTTTGGTAATTCTGACTGAGAAAATTACAAATCGTGGCGATTAAAGGATATTTGCCGATATTTGTTTTATCATGATATCGCTGACGTATCATTAGAGCAGCAACCTTAAAGGCTCATCTCAAACGCGATTCAATTTGAGCGCCTAAGCGGCCTCGCTGCTCGTTTTCGCGGCGCTACACTGGCTAATTCATAAGGTGAACCCATATTTGTCGGCCAGTAAATTCAGCAAAGAGACATCATTGATTCATCAGAAACAGATTTATGTTTTGAAAATAGAGAGTCCGCTTGGTTAGATACAAAGCTGGATGCAAGTTAGTCTCGTATCAAGCCCTCACTCTGTTTGACGCTCATCAGATCTCACTCTGTTTGACGATGTTTGACTCTGTTTGATCCACTCGGCCGTGGGAAACTGGTTTCTAGATTAGATGTAGGCAAGCAAAGTCAGTACGCTTGAGGTAGAACTGAAGAGCCAATGTAATTTTGATCTTTCGAGACAGCCTTTCTTTTTTGAGGTACTTTTGTCTAAACTTAGTCGAGTGTGTTTGGTTTACAACACGCTGCGTAAACACCAAGTAGTGTGGTGTAGTTTTCAAAATCTCTAACAAAAATAGACCGTAAAAGAAATTCAGATGGTATGTGACGTCATAACTACCGATGGATTTCATGGCGCTGGACAAATCAACTAGCTTGACAACAGATCATGGAACATATTGACTGTTTTATTTTCAGTACATTCGTGAAGATCTTGATACAGACCCGATCGTCGTCGGTGAAATCGACCGTGAAAACACAACGTAATAAACAAAAGAGCACCAGTGCGCAGGTGCGCGAAAGTTCAATAATAATGGCAAAACTGGTCATACCTGTTGACTGGAGACAACAAAGATTTACACAATGTGATTAAAATTGAATTCTCCTTTCAATTCTCGACACATTTACCATAGCCTGAGTTGAGAGAATCAAAAACACTATCGGTTACGAAAACAACAGGTTAAATCTCCCAAGGATGAGTAGAATTCAGCGCGAGTAATTGCCTGCTGCCAGACTGAGATTTTTGTCGGTTCGGCGCTCGATAAATCTTTAGTCTACACTTCAACTATGCCCGCATTCGAGGTTTAGAAAACAGCAGTTTTCAAAGGACCAATAATATGGAAACTAGTTGTTTGCGCTGGAGGTTGAGACAGTAGAGAGAGACTTTCATTGACGCAGTATAGAACAAAGGAAGCTCCGACGATGACATCGACTGCGATTCAAATGAACTCTCAAAGGTAAGCACAACCACGTAAATAGACTAAAACTGGTAACGAGCGGTTCATCCGAAGACTATTTTGTAGTGAGAAACCTTGTTCAATTCATTGGTTTCATCTTGAACGCCGCTTGAACCTATCTATTACTGAAAGTCTACGGGCGTTAATGCATAAATATTAGATCAAAACCGAAAGATAATATATCTTAGGGTGACAAACCATAAACATCCAAGTTTGCAAAGGGAAATTGACTATCGTTCACATAGTAATACTTCAACTGAATTAAAACGTTCATCTCGCCTTATTTACAAATCTACCTTAATTGTTTCACTTATGAGGGGATCAAATTATCGCTGATGTTTCTATGCACACAGCTGCCTTCGGCTAAAGGTTACGATTGCTGGACCGCTGGTTGGCTCGCACCAGATATCAATCAAGATATCTACTTCTATCTGAAAATCCAAACCCTCTAAGGCCTTCTGATATCTCATGGCTGGCCTTCTGATATCTCATGGCTAGACTTACGTTGTAATCTTCATAAACTAGTGTCCATAACCACCCTATATTAAATAATAAATTATTTTCTCCGAAAGGGCAGAAATTTACCACGTAGAATTATGCGGCGAACTATATACCCTTTACAAGTTTCTTTAGCATTGGCGAAACTATAGATAAAGAACTCAAACCAAGCCAAAACCATGCGAAACCAAACACAAACCAAACCCTAAGAACAAAAGAGGTGTAAAGTAAAAAGGAGCGAGTGAAAAAAAAAGAGGTTTTGAAGTGGTGCAGATCAACCCAGAATTATTAAACGGGAAATAAGTGTTAAGTAGCGCAAGGATATCCATACCTTGACTAAATTGGATAGTTATCTACAGAAAATCAAACGAGTCTCTGTTAAATAACAGCCGTGTATTTTTCCCGGCGATGAATTACCTCAGGTTATAAAACGAGATTCAAATTCAGTTACAGTAAATGTTACCCTGGGCACGAACTTCTGTTTTAATGGTCTAAGATCACTCAAAATCACGTTCAAATATAGCAATAGGACCATGCCTACGCTGATGTACAACCGTGATTACATCTAGTCCATGGAAAATACGGTCACTTCGTTAACTGCAACATCTTTTCTTCGTACCCCTGGAGATTCTCACGGTAGGGTGCCTTTGCTGTTGCAATTTTAATCGACAAATGTTGTTTATCTCACCTTAGTGGAAATTTTCCTAACCATACTTTAATTAACTGTTTTTCTGTAATATATATTAAACAGCTCGGACTGAATACCATCACATCTGAAGATCTGAAAGGAAGCGGGTAACTCCCAAAAGATAAATGGCGCTGATAGTCGATTTGATCGTGGTGTGGTTTGTTTTCTGGAGTGCCAAATTGTGGGTAATAACAGGTAAGCATTTCTTAAAAAAACCTGTTTTTATTACGATGTATTTATCATGTTACAAAATGTGTCGGCCAATGTTGCCAGATTGTTAAATTTCTTACTCCCTTTGTCTGCAAATTCATTTAAAATTCATTCAAAAAACTGTACATTATCATCATCTTCTTCTTCTTCTTAGCTTCTTTTGACGCCACTGAGCGCATAAGCGAGGCCTTAAAATTNTTCTAGACCTTCAGCGCGCGTTTAACACCGATTAAAAGTCATTTTATTTTGCCAGGGCTTTAAGGAAGAGTTCTGTATATTCGAATTTTTGAGAGCCTCAGAAATATCATAGAAAGTAGTGCTCGACGAAAGGCAGACACTAATTACGAACTGGAGAGGCATTATGAAGTAGAGAACGCTTGCGATGCCGGGATAGCAATACTTGAAACTATATTATCAGTCTGTGAGTAAGTTTGTAAGAGTGTAATCTAAAATTTATTGTTGTTTCTAATCTTCATTCACCCTTTTACCATTCAGACAATTGACCTTGCAACTATTGACATTTTACGTGACCGTGAGCGTGGAATCCCGCGATATAACGAGTTTAGACGGTTGACCAGGCTCAAACCAGTGGAGTCCTTTGAAAAGCTCACACCAAACAGAAAACACTCAGATTTACTGAAAGACTTGTACGACGACGACATCGAGAAATTAGACCTGCTGATTGGCTGTCTAGCGGAAGAGCCTCGACCTGATGGGTACGGATTTGGTGAAACGGCATTCAACATATTTGTTCTTATGGCCAGCCGGAGACTGAAAACCGATCGGTTAGTGAAAGTCATCTTTCAATTTCATTCTTGACGTTTGTTGATTATGCACAATTTGAGTAAGTTTTAAAGCAGGAACTTGGATTAAATGGGCTTAATTAATTGACCTGTCAAGACAAAAGACCGTTCTAACTGACACACTGATAGCTACTGATATGACCGACTATCCAAGTTTAAGTCCTAGTCCGTTCTAGTTGTTTTTCAATTATATTCTGTAGTATATGATTAAAACTACTAAAGGAACATAAAAGGGGAGGAATACCACTTTCAAGGAAAAGGGTCTCAGTGTTCAGTGTGATTAAAATGTCGAACTACTCAGTGAAATATAATCTGCAATAAGTCGACAATCGTGCAGTGTCATTTTGTTGCACAAAGAAAAACAAATTGAAGGTACTTTTGCTACAACCAGAGTGTATACAGGTAACCAAAGTTGCCACGGCAATGTTGGATATTAATATTATAAACACTACCCCGGTGAGAGTTTGTAAGAGCTTATCAGAAAATGAGGTGGGTATGAGCTGTCTCAACTTTGAGTACCAAGACAGAAATATGTGGATAGGGACTGGGGACCAGGTACTGCGTGTCCAAGTATACGATAATGACAATTTTAATTTACTACCCCAGGTTTATGACCGATGACTTTACCAGTGATATTTACACACCCGAGGGTTTGAAGTGGATTCAAGACACAGACATGAGCAATGTGCTTATCCGTGCTTTTCCTGACATCCAATGGCTCAGCGGTGTTTTAGCAAATACCAACAATGCATTTTTCCCTTGGCCAGTTCCCGGCGGGGATATCGCTGGATAACGCCTCGGAGTTTTAGAAAGTTTGCTGTCAATTTTTATCGGTACAAACATCATCGGCGCTTCTTTGTGTTAGTTTGAGGTAGACAGTGGTTGTCAAAATCTGACTTTGTGGAGGGAAAAAATTAAAAAAAATGCCATGACTATCAATTGAACTGTGTGTTGATCATGCGTGTTTTTCACTTCATTCCGGTCGTTTGGTTATTTCTTGTTGTCAAGGAAAAATCACTGAGCGTAGAATTGATCTTGAAGAAAAAGTGAGTTATTAAAATCAAGTTTAGTTGCTATTTGCTTAACTGACTACTTCCGTGTAAACATGAAATGTCTCATGAAAAAGTTATCTTTACGGGTGACTGGATTCGAGTTCCACCGTCCCACTCCACTTTCTTTCACGGTTTTTTTGTTTTTTTGTTTTTTTTGTTTTGTGGTTTTGTTGACCTTTTAATGGCCTTTCTATGCAATGGAAAAGTCTCCTCCTCGACGTCGAGGATGGTCTCACACTTAATCTGGTGATTATGAGAAACTGAAAACAGATGACGTCACGAGTAGCTCGAGAACTATGGTCTTTCGGCCGGGATTTTAAGTCAGCGGTCTCCTCGATTATTAGATTAGCAGTGATTTTGGTAATTCTGACTGAGAAAATTACAAATCGTGGCGATTAAAGGATATTTGCCGATATTTGTTTTATCATGATATCGCTGACGTATCATTAGAGCAGCAACCTTAAAGGCTCATCTCAAACGCGATTCAATTTGAGCGCCTAAGCGGCCTCGCTGCTCGTTTTCGCGGCGCTACACTGGCTAATTCATAAGGTGAACCCATATTTGTCGGCCAGTAAATTCAGCAAAGAGACATCATTGATTCATCAGAAACAGATTTATGTTTTGAAAATAGAGAGTCCGCTTGGTTAGATACAAAGCTGGATGCAAGTTAGTCTCGTATCAAGCCCTCACTCTGTTTGACGCTCATCAGATCTCACTCTGTTTGACGATGTTTGACTCTGTTTGATCCACTCGGCCGTGGGAAACTGGTTTCTAGATTAGATGTAGGCAAGCAAAGTCAGTACGCTTGAGGTAGAACTGAAGAGCCAATGTAATTTTGATCTTTCGAGACAGCCTTTCTTTTTTGAGGTACTTTTGTCTAAACTTAGTCGAGTGTGTTTGGTTTACAACACGCTGCGTAAACACCAAGTAGTGTGGTGTAGTTTTCAAAATCTCTAACAAAAATAGACCGTAAAAGAAATTCAGATGGTATGTGACGTCATAACTACCGATGGATTTCATGGCGCTGGACAAATCAACTAGCTTGACAACAGATCATGGAACATATTGACTGTTTTATTTTCAGTACATTCGTGAAGATCTTGATACAGACCCGATCGTCGTCGGTGAAATCGACCGTGAAAACACAACGTAATAAACAAAAGAGCACCAGTGCGCAGGTGCGCGAAAGTTCAATAATAATGGCAAAACTGGTCATACCTGTTGACTGGAGACAACAAAGATTTACACAATGTGATTAAAATTGAATTCTCCTTTCAATTCTCGACACATTTACCATAGCCTGAGTTGAGAGAATCAAAAACACTATCGGTTACGAAAACAACAGGTTAAATCTCCCAAGGATGAGTAGAATTCAGCGCGAGTAATTGCCTGCTGCCAGACTGAGATTTTTGTCGGTTCGGCGCTCGATAAATCTTTAGTCTACACTTCAACTATGCCCGCATTCGAGGTTTAGAAAACAGCAGTTTTCAAAGGACCAATAATATGGAAACTAGTTGTTTGCGCTGGAGGTTGAGACAGTAGAGAGAGACTTTCATTGACGCAGTATAGAACAAAGGAAGCTCCGACGATGACATCGACTGCGATTCAAATGAACTCTCAAAGGTAAGCACAACCACGTAAATAGACTAAAACTGGTAACGAGCGGTTCATCCGAAGACTATTTTGTAGTGAGAAACCTTGTTCAATTCATTGGTTTCATCTTGAACGCCGCTTGAACCTATCTATTACTGAAAGTCTACGGGCGTTAATGCATAAATATTAGATCAAAACCGAAAGATAATATATCTTAGGGTGACAAACCATAAACATCCAAGTTTGCAAAGGGAAATTGACTATCGTTCACATAGTAATACTTCAACTGAATTAAAACGTTCATCTCGCCTTATTTACAAATCTACCTTAATTGTTTCACTTATGAGGGGATCAAATTATCGCTGATGTTTCTATGCACACAGCTGCCTTCGGCTAAAGGTTACGATTGCTGGACCGCTGGTTGGCTCGCACCAGATATCAATCAAGATATCTACTTCTATCTGAAAATCCAAACCCTCTAAGGCCTTCTGATATCTCATGGCTGGCCTTCTGATATCTCATGGCTAGACTTACGTTGTAATCTTCATAAACTAGTGTCCATAACCACCCTATATTAAATAATAAATTATTTTCTCCGAAAGGGCAGAAATTTACCACGTAGAATTATGCGGCGAACTATATACCCTTTACAAGTTTCTTTAGCATTGGCGAAACTATAGATAAAGAACTCAAACCAAGCCAAAACCATGCGAAACCAAACACAAACCAAACCCTAAGAACAAAAGAGGTGTAAAGTAAAAAGGAGCGAGTGAAAAAAAAAGAGGTTTTGAAGTGGTGCAGATCAACCCAGAATTATTAAACGGGAAATAAGTGTTAAGTAGCGCAAGGATATCCATACCTTGACTAAATTGGATAGTTATCTACAGAAAATCAAACGAGTCTCTGTTAAATAACAGCCGTGTATTTTTCCCGGCGATGAATTACCTCAGGTTATAAAACGAGATTCAAATTCAGTTACAGTAAATGTTACCCTGGGCACGAGCTTCTGTTTTAATGGTCTAAGATCACTCAAAATCACGTTCAAATATAGCAATAGGACCATGCCTACGCTGATGTACAACCGTGATTACATCTAGTCCATGGAAAATACGGTCACTTCGTTAACTGCAACATCTTTTCTTCGTACCCCTGGAGATTCTCACGGTAGGGTGCCTTTGCTGTTGCAATTTTAATCGACAAATGTTGTTTATCTCACCTTAGTGGAAATTTTCCTAACCATACTTTAATTAACTGTTTTTCTGTAATATATATTAAACAGCTCGGACTGAATACCATCACATCTGAAGATCTGAAAGGAAGCGGGTAACTCCCAAAAGATAAATGGCGCTGATAGTCGATTTGATCGTGGTGTGGTTTGTTTTCTGGAGTGCCAAATTGTGGGTAATAACAGGTAAGCATTTCTTAAAAAAACCTGTTTTTATTACGATGTATTTATCATGTTACAAAATGTGTCGGCCAATGTTGCCAGATTGTTAAATTTCTTACTCCCTTTGTCTGCAAATTCATTTAAAATTCATTCAAAAAACTGTACATTATCATCATCTTCTTCTTCTTCTTAGCTTCTTTTGACGCCACTGAGCGCATAAGCGAGGCCTTAAAATTTTACATGGTAGCTTCTGAAAAGACAGGTTTAGACTCGTTTTTAACTTCTATATTTACGACTGCTTTACTTACTTACTTCGGATTGGCTGACTAAACTGATCGACTAACTGACTGACTAACCGAATGACTGACTGACTAACTGACTGACTGAAAGAATGACTGAATGACTGAATGACTGACTGACTGACTGAGTGAATGACTGAATGACTAAATGACTGAATGACTGAATGACTGAATGACTGAATGACTGAATGACTGAATGACTGAATGACTGAATGAGTACCTGACTGACTGACCGACTGAATGACTGAATGACTGCCTGACTGACTGACCGACTGACCGTCTGACTGACTGGCTAACCGACTGACTGACTTACTGACTGGCTGATTATAGCTAACCGGCGAGCTGACTGACTTACTTTCAATGCGGCACTGAATTGTTATGAAACCTGCAGCTCAGTCTGGCTGATATCCTCATACAGAGTTTTCGCATCAAATGATTGTTTGTCATGATACTAAACTGTCTTTGTTTACTTCAGAGTCGGTTGAAAGATGTAAGCGATACCCGGATCCCAAGAACGGTCACATTGTATGCGACAGCCTGTTTCGCTTATTTTGCGCCCCGGAGTGTGACGAGGGTTTCACGTTTGAGGATAAGCCAGCAGTGGTATACATGTGTGGGCCTCTAACGGGAGAATGGTTCACATACCCTGAAGGAGAAAAGATCCCCTGGCCTGACTGTGTAAGAAAAGAAAGGTAACCGTAAATTTTACTATAAGGTTCAGGTCGAAAGTCGCCTCTTCATTGGATTAGAAAGATCTAGCAGAATGTTTTTATTATTTCAGGGATCCGCCTGAATCGAAAATCGAATCGAATCAGAGGAGTAAAAGTCTTAAAGGGATAAAGGAAATAGAAAATATAACTGGAGTGCCCTTGGTTTCTTGCCGGCAATAACGTAATAGCTCGTTTGTTATTCTGCTCGAAGCTTCAGTTTTCATATGCTTGCATTGCAGCCAATAAGACAAAATTTGAATCACATGACAGTTTAAAAATAGAAGTATCGCTAGAATTAAATGAAATCACTGTTAATGCGAGTTTCAATTGAAAACTGAGAGGCGATTATGTAAGAGGACAACCAGCATTTCACTGGTTACCTTTGCTTGATTTTAGCAATTATTCTTTTTCTCAGAATTATAAAATTCCTCACAAATAAATACAAAACCGAAAACATATGGTTAAAAATGTTACTTCTAATAGGTTATAATCAAAGGAACCAAAAAAGAACTTATTTCTAGGTAGGTTTTGTCAAAAGTACATCTTCCGTTCCATGCACTTTTACGTCAGTCGATCTGCAACCAATAGTCAAGTACATGCAATGCAAGTGACCAGGTTTTCGTGCCACTTTGTTTAAAACAACGCCAAGTAAACACCAGATGAAATTATATTTTTAATATTCTCAACATTTTTTTCACTTTAATATTAACAACATTAAATTTCACTTTAATATTACAGTTATCGTTACAATTTATCATAAATTTAGCTATGAAAGATTGATCGCAATGGTCAAGATGAAATTTAATGAGCTAATTATTATTATTATTTTATTTATTTATTTATTTAATTTTTTTGCGTCTTTCTTTTCCAGCTCTAAGGGTGATAATCTGGAAGATGATGCGGCGACTCGCAGGGCGCAAATAACTCAGAAAATTCATCAAACACATCAAGGGATGTTCCTTAGTAATCGCCGAATGAAACCGACGCAACTGACTGAACACCCGAACACCAGGTGATACTCCCGGATGTCGTTTCTAGATTAAATTACTATACTCTGTTACTCTAAGTCTTGGAGGATAATCCCAGAAACACTGGGTGAGAGTGTGCGGCCCACCGTCGCGAAGCCCTTACCCTATTTTAGACCAAAATCTGCGATTTTCCTTATCCTATTTCAGACCTGGCCAAAAATTCGATACCCTATTTCAGACCTAATCAGTTTTCTATCTCTGACCAATGTTTATATGCTTTAATAGGTAGTAGGAAGGTCGAGAGACCAATAGAAAACGTTAAATGTACAGATGTAACGAGCCGCAATCGGTTCAGTGTGCCTTTGAACCCCATTTTACACGTGCACACAAACCATGGTTACCCTATTAAAAACTAAAACGGCAAAAATCGATGCCTTATTTGAGACTAAAACGGCTACAAACAATGCTCTTTGGGGCCACACAACACGGGCTCTGAGTGCTTCAATCGGTAAGGAAGTTACTCTAAAACGTAACTGGCGTACTTCCCACAAAAAACCTGGCTGCCAAAACATGCATTGTGGTGTAACTTCAAAATTATACTATCGTTGTACCTCGCATCAAATAAGAGCAATGAAGAATAACGAAAGAATGACAGATCCGACCATCAGAATAAGCTCCTTGACTGTAAAAGAAATCTCCCTGTGATGACAATGTATCATGGAAATTGGGCCATCTTGAAAAGATTTTAGTTATGGAGAANTGACTGAACACCCGAACACCAGGTGATACTCCCGGATGTCGTTTCTAGATTAAATTACTATACTCTGTTACTCTAAGTCTTGGAGGATAATCCCAGAAACACTGGGTGAGAGTGTGCGGCCCACCGTCGCGAAGCCCTTACCCTATTTTAGACCAAAATCTGCGATTTTCCTTATCCTATTTCAGACCTGGCCAAAAATTCGATACCCTATTTCAGACCTAATCAGTTTTCTATCTCTGACCAATGTCTATATGCTTTAATAGGCAGTAGGAAGGTCGAGAGACCAAATATTATAAAAACTCAATAGAAAACGTTAAATGTACAGATGTAACGAGCCGCAATTGGTTCAGTGTGCCTTTGAACCCCATTTTACACATGCACACAAACCATGGTTACCCTATTAAAAACTAAAACGGCAAAAAAATCGATGCCTTATTTCAGACTAAAACGGCTAAAAACCATGCTCTTTGGGGCCACACAACACGGGCTCTGAGTGCTTCAATCGGTAATGAAGTTACTCTAAAACGTAACTGGCGTACTTCCCACACAAAAAACCTGGCTGCCAAAACATGCATTGTGATGTAACTTCAACATTATACTATCGTTGTACCTCACATCAAATAAGAGCAATGAAGAACAACGAAAGAATGACAGATCCGACCATCAGAATAAGCTCCTTGACTGTAAAAGAAATCTCCCTGTGATGACAATGTATCATGGAAATTGGGCCATCTTGAAAAGATTTTAGTTATGGAGAAAATAATTCTGTACTAAATGACTAAATGCCATGGACAACTACAAAGCGGTTTTCTCTAATGCTTTACTCACCGTTATTTTGCTTCATTTCCCAGATATCTTCATCTCTTTGACTACATTCAGAGGGCACATCAGATTTATAATGATAAACAGAAGCCGTCTATTGGATACAATGCTTTAGAACAGCAAAGGCAGTTAGAGTTACAACAACAACAACAACAACAAAAGAAACAAAAACAACTGCTAATACAACAACAAATGCAGAGGAGACAAAAAGTGATAGAAAAGCAGAAATTAGTGCGACAGGAACAAAATTTTCAGCGAGAAATGATGGAAAAACAACGTCAACAGCGCGAAGCATTAATTGAATCACCAACTACAATTAATCACCAACACGTTATTGCAACTCCGTCTACTCCATGGAGAAATCCTGCATATCAAAATTGGCAGAAGAATCTTCAATCCAATGCTAGAGTTGATTCCAGATTTGTATCTCCTGTGCATGCTACGCCATGGAGTTCATATTATCCAAAAACGCCACAACCTATACATGAAAGATATTCCGCTACGTACGGAACACTTCAGGAGAAGACAAGAAGCAACGTGGCAAACGGTAATTTCAATCAACAGCTACGTAATTCAGAAGTAGGAGCAAATTCCGTAGGCTTGACCCAACAGAACGTTGTACGAAAATCCTCACTGCAAAACAATCAGGTGGAAAGAAATCTGACGCCAGTGAAAGAACAACCTGTCACGAGTACCTGGCAACGCCCAGACTTCAATAGAGTACTACCAAGCTCACAACGAAATGCTACTTCTCTGACTCTACAACCTCTGCAACATAACCAGAATGACGTTCATGTAAGGCCACAGCTGATCTCCAATCAGATCACATCTCCTGGAGTTGACGTCAACCTTACAACCCAATCACAGTTCAAAATCTCTTCAACTAACCAATCGGAAGCAGGAAACCAATTTAATGTCTCTCCGAAGAGGGAGCGTCCCCAGTTGTTAACACAAACAGCCAAAGGTCAAGTTAATCAATTTTCTGCAAAGGCTGCAGGTTCAGTGTTTCAAACAAACAACGATGGACCTCCTAGAGTGGAATCTGAAGACGATCTAAATAAAACGTCTCAAACAGAAGGACAAAGAGGTGTGGGAGATGGAGCAGAGAATAGGACACAAGAAAAAACTCAAAAGAAAGAAAAGCTGTTTTATTTCCCAATTAAAAGAGACACTTTAATAAGGCTGTTGCCTTCGAACCTCCAGGAAAAATACAGATCTCTTCGAGAAACCAGAAACATTAACTCAACTTACGAGGCCTCCATTAACAAAAAGAAAGAAAACTCGACAGTTCTGGAAGACATGAAAGCTCAGCAAAATGTAGCTCAAAAAATGGATTCTTCAGCGAATGTTTCCAACTTTAAATATTCTATTCGGCAAATTAAAACAGGAAATGACAGTATAACAGAATATTTTGATCTACTGCCCCAGAGCACACCGAACGGTTCGTATCAAAGCGAAGAGCCAATTAAGTCAAGTAATACCACCATTGTTCCTTCTACAACATTCAAAAACTAAAATTAGAATTTTTCTTTTGAAAATCCCGAAGATGAAGCTAATATCATTGAAGAATTAAAGGAAATCGGATTGTAAAATAAGCCTATTGTGTTGTACCAATTTTGAAGAAAAAACATCCCCCCCGCAACTAGCTTAAATTTATATTTCAAAAACACCGCTTCCTGTGTGCTAAAAGCAAATGATACTTTAAGACCTTAGAATTTTCTAGTCCCTTCTAATGCATGTGTATATTTTGAAGCAAATTAAAATTTAACAACAATAATTTTTTTTAGTCTATAATTTAATTTATTAACTGAAGCTGACTGAAAATTTTGAAAACCCTGAGGGCCTTGATTAGAAACACTTTCTCGTAAATTTTTAATTTGTCTATATTGGACGGAAATAAAAAAATGTACTTGGTACCAGATATAAACAAATATAGAGTTATTTTCAACGCATATCTCTTGTTTTAATTTTGCAATTTTTTTAGTCGGAAAAAGCACCAGTATAGTTCTTTCAGGAGATAAATCTTATTTTTAACATTCCAGTCACGGTCCTGTGTTCCTTCAAAGTATTCAAGCAATCCGTACAATAAAAATTATTTTCAAAAAAATCGAAAGTAATATAAGAATGTATATAAGTGGTCAAAGGTCAATTCCCTATCTAGTTTCCTCACAGCTAACCGGATCGATTTTGCAAAATAGAGATTGATTTGTCTTTGACAATTTTAGGGTTAACCTTTCAGCACTGTTAAAAAGGTAGAAATTAAAGGGAAAAGATTCCAGCCGGTCTTAATAAACCAGCTCCGTGTTTCCTCCACTATTTTGAGAAACATGACCTAAAGTCGGAAACGTTTCCACACGTTGTATGAGACTTCGACTTGACTTAACTTGATATATTCTCTAAAATTAAGCATACATCTAACTGAAAAACATAACTAGAAAGAGTGAAGAATCTAGTTGATAAAATGTAATTGCAAGAAAACACGCGCGGTCATTCTTTTGGATTTTGTTTCTAACCTCAGCCGGTCGAATCCACGGAGAAAGACCAACGTATGAATTATTACATGAAAGCGAAACTTCTCAAAGAATTTGTACTCCCATGGTTTGAAGAGAAAAACCTGTAGTCAGAAATCGTAACTTAACATGATACGTGCATTCTGCATGTATAAAAAGAATGAAACGTTACAGGAATTACTTGACGTCGACATCAGGCTTCTACACAAAATAAGTATTTCGTCCAATGTTGGTTTTCTGATCAAGGAAAAAGCTGCCGTATCTTCTCGCTTTTTCGATGAGTTTAATTAATCTACGCTCGTTTGTTTGTTGGCAGCTGCAACAATCTTAAACCAATCATGGCAAGAACGTGCGATTTAGACAGGCCTAACCGCAACTTCAGTTATGGCAGCGCGAATTAGGATAACAACTGGAAAAACTAATAACTGTAAAAATCTAAGGTGATGGTTGAATAACAACACTTGAATAGGATTAACAGCTGGTGGGCAGCGTAATTTCTGTCTTTGTAAGGTCTAATGCGCGTCTGCTATTTAGCGAGACCCTATAAAATAATAACAAAAGAAACGAAATTAAAGAAGCAATAATTGTTGACATAAATTGAATTAGCAAGTTGTGGTGCTAAATATTCACGAATCCATTTAATATATTGTTTACATGAGCTTCACCTCCCCGAATTAATTTGAATTTCGCTAAAAACAAACTAATCTCGCCACCGGATTATATATACTAACCTCATTAAAGTTTCCCATTTTATACCACATATAGAGTCGATACTATTTGTAAACCCTTTTCTTCAGTCGGCTTCACAAAATCCTCTGTCAAAGATATCAGTTCTTGAATTAAAATTGGTGGAAAGTGCTCGGTAAATATTACATCGTAATGAAAATACTACAATTGTGCAAATATCTAGGCATTGTTTATATCATCATTTCAGTGCACGTTTTAAGACGTAACACTATATATATATAGGGAGATTAACGAAGGCGAAAAACACTAAGTCAGTAAGTACACCTTGAACATGATGTTCGATCAAATCTCATTATCAACTCGTGCATATCCTAACAGCAAACCCAGCCAACACTGTCAGAAAAAAACACAATAAAGCCTTAGAAATTTCTCGACAAAATCTGTCCCTAATGCTATTAAAGATTTATTTAAGACATACCAGACAATTATCTTAATTATCGATTATCTGTTAAAATATGGAAAACGGCAAACCTCAGTGGATGAGACAAAGAATATTAATTAAATCCATCTGAGTAAACTTTACCTCGTATTATTAAAATACCACACTTTCAATAATAAACAAAGTAAATTCATCCATTCGTTTGAGGGGATTTGGTCTCTGTCTCAAAATGACCCCAACAGCAACCACCATCATCGAAGCAGCCATCCTTGTTTTCATTTGCACAGTTTCCATTCTTGGAAACATCAGTTTATTTTTTGTTTTTACAAGAAGAAAAGCCCTTCGCACTATCTCGAATGGTTTTCTTCTCAACCTTGCCTTCGCTGATTTGCTCGTGTCCGTGTTAAACATGCCGATAACAGTGGTCACCATTGTCAAACAGCGCTGGATATTTGGAGAATTTGCTTGTGTTCTTCTTGGATTCACCACGATGCTCTCGTTTGTTTCATCCGTAATGTCACTTGCTATGATAGCAATCAACAGATATTATTACGTGGTGCAGTGGAAAACGTACCCTTCTATCTTTACACCTAGAAGATCGGTGCTGTTTACGGGAATTGTGTGGTTGATATCTTTGTTATTATCCATCCCTCCGCTCTTTGGCTGGGCTGAATATCGTTATATAACTGGCAAATCGTACTGTTTTGTATTCTGGCCTTCTGATGTGTATTACATGTATTTCATGTTAACGATATGTTTTTTCGGACCTCTAACTGTGATGTCTTTATCGTACTTCAATATCCTACGATTCACAAGGGAAGCCAAGCGGCGCGTTAATCAGCACAAGGATAGTGTAATTACGCAACAGAAAATACAAACAAGACGAGAAAGTGAGAGTTATTTTTTTGAGAGAAATAAAAGACGTTTCAGAATGACTCAAGAAGAAGTAAAAATAACGAACACTTTGCTGATTGTCGTCGCTTGTTTCATGGCTTGTTGGGCGCCATTTGCCATGACAATGTTTTTTGACGTGTACTATCCACACCCACTGCCAAGGACAATTGACATCAGCACGTTGTTGCTAGGCTACGCGAACAGTATGTGCAATCCGATTGTGTATGGAGTAAGGAACCAAGCTTTCAGAAGCGAACTTGTTCGTCTGGTCACGCAGTGTCATTGCCCACGCGTAAATAGTAATAGGGTTTCTGTTCTTGACACGTTTCAACCAAGTTCCGTGATGGCTTGTCAGATGAATGCGGCTCAAGCCACAGAGATGCTTCGAGTATCAAGGATTTTGATCGCTGAATCAGCGAGCGATGAAACAAATACCTTTCCTGCGCTCAGATCCACTGAAAGTACTCAGATTGACCACTGAGATAAAGTGAATCTATCGAATTCAATCCTTTTCATTCAATATCAGCCAGCCGTAAACGGAGAACAAAACTATTACAAGTTTTGGAGCTATTGGCAGAATCGATCTGAACATATCTTAAACATTCCATGTAGCTATATCCTACGATAGAGACGACATGACACGGATGCTCGACTGTGTTTTGACATTTCAGACAGACAATCTGATGTTTTCAAACTGAAACCGTTTCCCAAGTGTGCATATGTTGAATTTTAAATGCGTGAAAGAAATTATTTGTCAGCTAACTAGTCAACTTCTGATACAGATCAGTAAAATTGAAAGACGCGGAGTTTTCCCTATGAATAAGTAATAGTAAGGAGATGTCAAGAATAAGAAAGGTTGATTAATGATAACGAGATTTCAATAGCTAAGGCCATAATCTGAGATAGAATGGTCTAATCAGACGCCGATAAGTCGATTTGCTGAACGTCTGACATTTGTTTAAAGCCTCATAAAAGCAAACCGTACAGATTCGACTGTTTCTATGTACGGCTTTTCGTGAGAACATATGAGAGACAATTCACCAGCGTAGATTTTTACTTTATGTAAATATTCCAGAAATTTTTCAATTTTCAGCTGTTGCTTTTTTGTTACTTGGCAATGGTTGATGTTGATGTACTTGTCTTATGGTGCAAATTCTTGAGAAGAGGAGTTAAGTGATCAAATATTTGATTTACTAAGCACGTACAAGGTTGAACAAAGCTTTAGAAATAAGGAAAGACAACATTAACATTAAATATCGCTAGGGTCACATAGGCTGCAGTTTATTATCAATAACATTTAAAGCCAGGTTTTCACCACGACATAAGCATAAGCACATGCATAACAGTAGTGAGGACCCCACAAGCATGTAGGCTTGCGCAGCATGGATAATTGCCTTATTTTCGGTTCTCCATACGGCGTCCTCGAAACAGTAAAACAAGATGGCGGACTTATATCCTTAGGGACTTATGCTTGTGCTTACAGTAGCTCGTTTTCACTTGGCATAGGCATAAGCATAAGCACAAGCGCAAGAAAAACAAAAACTTTTGAGTCATTAGCACGTTTCTTTTTTATATTCCTCAAATTAAACACCTCCAGCAAGATTTTCATGAGTAACGAACGGTTGTTATTTAGTTTTTCTAACGGCCACGGTAACAAAATTTCCCTATCTATTCGAATGGAAAATGTCACCTTTTAAATATCCCAACTTTGAACGCGATCAAAATGAAGGAGGACCGATGTGATCAATGATTCGTTTTGTAGTGTAACTAAATTATATTCAAATTCATTCAAAGGACACTTTCTGACTCAGGTCAAGTAGTCATAAGATATTGCATGGGTGAGTAATATGGGTAAGCTATGCAAATTACATTATATTATTACGTAAAGAATATACGAGAATAAAAGACATAGTATAATTTCCAGAGGTGAATATAAGAATTGGACATTCTGACTGGTCATATGAAGCTATATTCACCCCGCTAGAGCTTGGTTACTAAGCTCGCCATCCTTCCATCTCGGCAAGTAAACATGGCGGACAGTTGGGGAATGTAGTTTTCATTTATTCGAAAGACATCACTCCAAGTCCAGGATATTTTAAAGGATGGGGAATTTTCAAAATGACTGCTGTCCCTCTTGGACCAAAAATCTTTACAAGAATCGTAAACGCAGTGGTTGCGTCGATCACCAGCAGGTCAGATATTTTTCTTCAAACTGAAGTTACTCATTTTTAGGCGATGATGACAACTGTGAATGAAGTCAACAACGATCTAAAACAAAGGTAGCGAATGAATTTACTTTTCGTGTAGTGTTTCGCTCGTTTGTTTTACTGCCGAACTCGATGAGTAAATTGATTCGCAATCGATGTACATGTAAGCTTATTATTAAAACTACAGCTGCGTACTTGTATGCACACGAACAGTTGCGCCTGTGTTTTTATGTTTTAGCCGTTATTTTGTAGTCCTTGATGTTCACCTCTGAAAATTATATTAAAACAATTATTCGCCTCAGGTTCAGGGAACATTGGTGCATAATTGTTAAATATGTTAACAAATTTGGCATCAAAAAATTGTATCATTCAGTTACGCTTTAATTGGAAGGTGATTATAAGGAATACTTTTCAGGCTGTTCTTGCGACAATCACGTGGCGATTTTAAACAGATGCTTACAACCGTCCCAATTTCAACCGTCTCTCAAGACAACGTACATACTTGCAATTCAACCTTTCCGGAAAATTCACAGTTTTTTCCATACAGTCACTTGAGAGCATGCACCCCAACCTTGCTTGTGAGTGGTTCGCTAACTGTTGTTCCCTAATCTTACCCATTCGACATTCAGTTAAGCTATCACCATCATTATCATCATCACCATCATCATCATCATCATCATCATCATCATCATTCCTTGTAGCCCCCAAGGGGCATAGGGCCGCACTAAGATATTCTGCGTAGAAAATGAACCTTTTTTTGGTCAGTTCAGCGGGAGCTGGTACCTGCCGGTAGCCAGGGACTTGGCTTCTACGCTGGAATCCCCCTGAACATAAACCCTGGTCCCAGCTGGGAGATCAGAAGGAAACGTTTTGCACCATTTCTGACGGCGTTTTCATAAATCCAAGCATATTAATGTAACCAAATATTTACAAATGCCAATAGCAAATTTTGCTCACTACCTGATCTCTTACCGCGCCAACTCAACTAAAAACATTTAAAATGAATTTCTACACCCGCCGCCATAGTTACTTAACCCAACCAGCTTCTAAGCAAAGCTTTCAAAGTTAATTTATGTTGGAAAGTCCAAGACCGTGCACAATCGCTTTGTTTTAAGTTCCCAAACTTTTAGTTGGATTACGCCACTGTTACGTAACCGGAGCACTTCTATTGGTTAGTCCTCCGGACACATGTCAAAACCTACTGTGTTTCGTGTGTAGTCAAGGCAAACAAACCGAACTAAAACAGAGCAAAGAATTTTACCCGGCTTGCTAACCATTTCACCTTGCTTTTTGCTTAAACTGTTATCGTTTTCAAGGTCATACCACAAGTGCTTTCAAGGAAACAAATAAAGGAGCCAAATTTTGTCCTTTTTGCCGGCACAACTCATCGTTCTAAGCGTAACTTTTCCAGTTTTCGTGAGCTACAATGGAGAAGGAGTGCAATCATTTGGTTTTTACTTAATTATCCAACAGTTGTGGCATAAGCTCCTGGTTGTGACTATTTTCTAATTTCTAGAAAAGTGAAATCCAAGATGGCGAACTGAATAACGCCTTGTGACGACATAGATGATCTTATAAAAAAATCTTAAAGAAAACGCAAATGCAAAGTGTTGACTTCATTACTGAAACGAAAACAATAGAAGAAGAGGAGGCTCCCCCCGTACCCCCGTTAGGATATAAACTTGCATGAACATCCGACGTTTAATACCAGTTAATGTCGTGAATTTAACTTTCGCTTTTCACATTTTTGCAAGAAGTCGACACAGGACTCTTTTAGTCTCTTGTTTTTGCTACACTAACACGATGGTTCTGGGCAACGACATTTAATTTTATGTAGCAAAAAGTTTGTGAATTGCAAAGACATTCAAATGCGGATTAAAAGAGTTTTTAGATCAGCGCTTTGAAAAATTTATAAGAAGTTCTAAAAATTATTGATAAAACTTTAGTTAAGGTAACGGAGGAAACAAATTTGGCCAACACCAGGTGATAAGTAGTCTGGCAAATTCCAACTAAATAGAAAAAAACACCCCTAAAATGTTTAAAAAATGAATATGTAAGATATATACTATCATTAAATATCTTGTTGCCTTTATGTCTAATATAACACCTGCTATCACATTTTCGAACGTAAGTAATTCATTTTCTGCCTCTTTTCATTAGCCACGTGTCGTGGTGCGATATCGTTTACAGAAGCTATTTGCTATTTCCTTCACGAAATTACATCTGGGACGTGGATAATGTTTTCTTTATGGTTACTGTTGAGTATTTTGATCAAAGTGCCGATGTATGTATGCCACTACTTTCAAATTAACGTCAATTTAAGTGACAAAATACAGCAACAAAACGATATATGAAATTTTTCCTTTCACATCTCAGGAAACCCACAATAAGGGTAACATGTAGAGGTTTTCCCGAGTTCATTTACACAGACCAGCTGACCGATGAATTTTTTTTATGTTTTTACCAGTTTTTTCACCTAACTGAAAATTTCGTGTCCAATATAAATACAATATGACTGTTTAGAGCACCTGTGTAACTAACATAACTCAATGTCAATTTAAATAAAAAGAGCTAGCTGTTATGATATTCTCCAGTTTTACAAAACAAAATCAATAACTACCGACTTAAGAAATGGCTCTCGGAATCTTCTTGAAGAATACTTTAACATAAGACAACGATAAATGTTCAATGAACGTCTAAGAATTAACTGTATTTCGCAATACGAAAGGCTCCTATAATCTTTACGGAATTAATCAACTTATCATGTTAAATCCAGACATTTGAAAAACTCACTGAAGTTTTAATATGGTCATAAAATCGTCCCCCAGATTCATTAACGCGCAGAAGTCCTTGAATTTATAGAAATAATTCAGGTAAATTGAGCTTTGTCCACTAACAATTATGCGCAAATGGTAATTAATTTAAAGGAAACTCGTAATTATGCAAAGAGAGATCAGTGTGACTAAAATTGATATGCCAAGACGTCACTAAAACATCCATTAGTAGATAAGGTAGGCTTACATATAATTATGACTTTCATCTGCCATACATCCAGCTGTTTACACGTATAATAATGAGCTTGAAAGGGGTTTGAAGGCCGAGGCTGAGGTCTGTACACCAAAAAAAAGAACCAAACAGGAAGAAAAAAAGTATTCGGAAATACAAAAAGTATAGCCATCTTGTTATTTGGAAAGATTGTTTTACTCATGGCGTCTGTGGAAGGTTCAGTCATCGAAACCATCATTCTAGTTCTCATTTGCGCAACTTCTGTTCTGGGAAACATAAGTTTAATTTTTGTCATCACGAGGAGAAAATCCCTTCGCACTATCTGTAATGGCTTTCTTCTCAACCTTGTCTTCGCTGATTTGCTCGTGTCAGTGTTAAACATGCCGATAACCGTGGTCACCATTGTAGAACAACGGTGGATATTTGGAGATAGAGCCTGCAACCTTCTGGGATTCACTACAATGCTGTCGTTTGTTTCGTCGGTCATGTGGCTAGCCATGATAGCTATCAACAGATATTATTACGTGGTGCAATGGAAAGTCTACCCTTCCCTCTTCACACCTAGAAGATCGGTGCTATTCGCGGGAACCGTGTGGTTGATATCTTTGTTATTATCCATCCCTCCGCTGTTTGGCTGGGCTGAATATCGTTATATACCTGGCAAATCTTACTGTTTTGTATCCTGGCCTTCTGATGTATATTACATGTATTTCATGCTGATAATATGTTTTTTCGGACCTCTAAGTATTATGTGCCTGTCGTATTATAATATTTTGAAATTCACTAGAGAAGCAAAACAGCGTGTTAATCGTCACCGAGATGATGGATTATTACAACAGGAGACACAAAGAAAGCAAGAAAATAATACTAATGTTTATGAGCAAAACAGAAAGCGTTTACGGATGACTCAAGAAGAAGTAAAGATAACGAACACTTTGATGATTGTCGTCGCTTGCTTCATGGCTTGTTGGGCCCCATTTGCCATTACTATGTTTTTTGACGTGTACTATTCACGCCCGCTACCAAGAACAGTTGACATCAGCACGTTACTGCTAGGTTACGCGAACAGTATGTGCAACCCAGTTGTGTATGGAATAAGAACTCAAGCTTTCAGGAGAGAACTGGTTGGCTTCTATACTTCTTGCTTAGAAAAAGACAGAGTTGATGTTCCTAACAGTTTTCCTGTGAGCTCTGCAGCTGTTTGTGAAGGAGATACCCTAGAGACCCAAGAGACACCTAATGTGTCACGTGTTAGCCGCGAACAAAATCAACCGATAGAACTGAAATCATTGCATCTTGAAGCCAAATTTCCACGATTAAAAGAATTTTAGTCGATCAGCTGAAATCGCAAAGTTTAGAATCTTGAAACATTAACTAATAATATTTCTCACTATTTGAAGCTTGTACCTGTTTCAGCAGATATGATACCGTCCCCTGTAAGATTATGTAAACATTTTGCGTCTGTGTTTTATGTTTCAGTCTGTTATTTTTTTAGTCCTTGATATTCACCTCCGAAAATTATACTAAAATTCGTCTCGGTGAATATTCACCAATGTTCACTGAGCCTGAGGCGAATAATTGTTAAATATTTATGAGCAAAATAGGTCAATATAATAATGTATTATCGTTGTGATAATAATCATAAATTAAGTTTAGTTTAGTTTAGTTTAGTTAGTTAGTTTAGTTTAGCTTAATCTTTATTTGTCCACGGTAATTCTTCAGCTAAAAATATACCTGACAAATAATGCCTACGGGGATAAGTTGAATCAGAAAAGCCATTCACTTCAAACTGAATTCAGTTGTTCTCTCCACCCTGTTCTAAATATTTTTGATCTGAGCAAACCTATTTCGCCTTTAATAATGTTGCCATTACCCGATGTTTTTTTTTCCCTAAAAAGATAATATGTAACTACAGGATAGGAACTTTAATTGCTATAAGATTTACAAGGTAGGAATGACCAAATAAATTAAGCGTTACGTTTGTTGACATTTCATTTATTAATGTAACGTTTTTTACATGTTTAGCACGTTTCTGAAGCATTCAGTATTATCACTTACTTTTTTTCTGATGTTTTTAACTATTTACGATGATAACAAGGTGAGACATTTACGATACATCTATGGTAATTCATATCGATGTCGTACCAAGCAGAAGTAAATCTTTCATTTTATGAATTTTACACATTAAAAAACTGTCTTGTGTTACAAAAGAGATAACAATTTTTTATTAGGCTAAAAGAAGCAGTTAGCTCAGGCAAGCAGAGTATACCACCTTTGGATAGCACAGACACCGTGTGGTGCGAAATGTTTGCGGGAGTTTAATTTTGCGGATCGGGAATCTATATTTTTTGCATTTTGTTGGAACTGATTTTTGCAATTGTGAGAAACTAGTTTTTCGAGGTGGGCATCAATTTTTGCGATTGTCGCGATTGAAATCGCGTTTTTTTGAGATATGACATTTTCGGGTTTTTATTTAATCAGACCGTACACAGTTATCAGTCACTCTGTTACAAGGCTCAAAATTAAGTCTTGTCACAATACTAATGTGGCAGATAGTACCTTCAGAAAATACTTTTTTGCAAACATTTTAGCAGCTACACCTGTAGTATACCATGGGCAGTTTCATCGTTTTATTTAAAGAGACGTTTTAATGTAAANACATTTAAAATGAATTTCTACACCCGCCGCCATAGTTACTTAACCCAACCAGCTTCTAAGCAAAGCTTTCAAAGTTAATTTATGTTGGAAAGTCCAAGACCGTGCACAATCGCTTTGTTTTAAGTTCCCAAACATTTAGTTGGATTACGCCACTGTTACGTAACCGGAGCACTTCAATTGGTTAGTCCTCCGGACACATGTCAAAACCTACTGTGTTTCGTGTGTAGTCAAGGCAAACAAACCGAACTAAAACAGAGCAAAGAATTTTACCCGGCTTGCTAACCATTTCACCTTGCTTTTTGCTTAAACTGTTATCGTTTTCAAGGTCATACCACAAGTGCTTTCAAGGAAACAAATAAAGGAGCCAAATTTTGTCCTTTTTGCCGGCACAACTCATCGTTCTAAGCGTAACTTTTCCAGTTTTCGTGAGCTACAATGGAGAAGGAGTGCAATCATTTGGTTTTTACTTAATTATCCAACAGTTGTGGCATAAGCTCCTGGTTGTGACTATTTTCTAATTTCTAGAAAAGTGAAATCCAAGATGGCGAACTGAATAACGCCTTGTGACGACATAGATGATCTTATAAAAAAATCTTAAAGAAAACGCAAATGCAAAGTGTTGACTTCATTACTGAAACGAAAACAATAGAAGAAGAGGAGGCTCCCCCCGTACCCCCGTTAGGATATAAACTTGCATGAACATCCGACGTTTAATACCAGTTAATGTCGTGAATTTAACTTTCGCTTTTCACATTTTTGCAAGAAGTCGACACAGGACTCTTTTAGTCTCTTGTTTTTGCTACACTAACACGATGGTTCTGGGCAACGACATTTAATTTTATGTAGCAAAAAGTTTGTGAATTGCAAAGACATTCAAATGCGGATTAAAAGAGTTTTTAGATCAGCGCTTTGAAAAATTTATAAGAAGTTCTAAAAATTATTGATAAAACTTTAGTTAAGGTAACGGAGGAAACAAATTTGGCCAACACCAGGTGATAAGTAGTCTGGCAAATTCCAACTAAATAGAAAAAAACACCCCTAAAATGTTTAAAAAATGAATATGTAAGATATATACTATCATTAAATATCTTGTTGCCTTTATGTCTAATATAACACCTGCTATCACATTTTCGAACGTAAGTAATTCATTTTCTGCCTCTTTTCATTAGCCACGTGTCGTGGTGCGATATCGTTTACAGAAGCTATTTGCTATTTCCTTCACGAAATTACATCTGGGACGTGGATAATGTTTTCTTTATGGTTACTGTTGAGTATTTTGATCAAAGTGCCGATGTATGTATGCCACTACTTTCAAATTAACGTCAATTTAAGTGACAAAATACAGCAACAAAACGATATATGAAATTTTTCCTTTCACATCTCAGGAAACCCACAATAAGGGTAACATGTAGAGGTTTTCCCGAGTTCATTTACACAGACCAGCTGACCGATGAATTTTTTTTATGTTTTTACCAGTTTTTTCACCTAACTGAAAATTTCGTGTCCAATATAAATACAATATGACTGTTTAGAGCACCTGTGTAACTAACATAACTCAATGTCAATTTAAATAAAAAGAGCTAGCTGTTATGATATTCTCCAGTTTTACAAAACAAAATCAATAACTACCGACTTAAGAAATGGCTCTCGGAATCTTCTTGAAGAATACTTTAACATAAGACAACGATAAATGTTCAATGAACGTCTAAGAATTAACTGTATTTCGCAATACGAAAGGCTCCTATAATCTTTACGGAATTAATCAACTTATCATGTTAAATCCAGACATTTGAAAAACTCACTGAAGTTTTAATATGGTCATAAAATCGTCCCCCAGATTCATTAACGCGCAGAAGTCCTTGAATTTATAGAAATAATTCAGGTAAATTGAGCTTTGTCCACTAACAATTATGCGCAAATGGTAATTAATTTAAAGGAAACTCGTAATTATGCAAAGAGAGATCAGTGTGACTAAAATTGATATGCCAAGACGTCACTAAAACATCCATTAGTAGATAAGGTAGGCTTACATATAATTATGACTTTCATCTGCCATACATCCAGCTGTTTACACGTATAATAATGAGCTTGAAAGGGGTTTGAAGGCCGAGGCTGAGGTCTGTACACCAAAAAAAAGAACCAAACAGGAAGAAAAAAAGTATTCGGAAATACAAAAAGTATAGCCATCTTGTTATTTGGAAAGATTGTTTTACTCATGGCGTCTGTGGAAGGTTCAGTCATCGAAACCATCATTCTAGTTCTCATTTGCGCAACTTCTGTTCTGGGAAACATAAGTTTAATTTTTGTCATCACGAGGAGAAAATCCCTTCGCACTATCTGTAATGGCTTTCTTCTCAACCTTGTCTTCGCTGATTTGCTCGTGTCAGTGTTAAACATGCCGATAACCGTGGTCACCATTGTAGAACAACGGTGGATATTTGGAGATAGAGCCTGCAACCTTCTGGGATTCACTACAATGCTGTCGTTTGTTTCGTCGGTCATGTGGCTTGCCATGATAGCTATCAACAGATATTATTACGTGGTGCAGTGGAAAAAATACCGGTCCATCTTCACACTTAGAAGAGCGTTCCTGTTCGCGGGAATTGTGTGGTTGGTATCTTTGTTATTATCCATCCCTCCGCTGTTTGGCTGGGCTGAATATCGTTATATACCTGGCAAATCGTATTGTTTTGTATTCTGGCCCTCAGATGTATATTACATGTATTTTATGTTAACAATATGTTTTTTCGGACCTCTAACATCTATATGCGTATCGTACTTTAACATTCTAAAATTCACAAGAGAATCTAAGCGGCGCGTTAATCAGCACATAAATAACACGCACGAGGAAATATTAACAGAACAAGTAAACGATGTTTCCGCTGTAGATAGGAAATGTAAGAGACGTTTTAGGATGACGCGGGAAGAGGTTAAAATTACCAACACTTTACTGATTGTTGTTGTGTGTTTCATGGCTTGTTGGGCACCATTTGTCGTCACAATGTTTTTGGATGTTTATTTTCCAAGACCACTGCCAAGAGTTATTGACATCGGTACGCTGTTGTTAGGTTACGCCAACAGCATGTGTAACCCCATTGTATATGGAATAAGGAATCAAAATTTCAGAAAAGAAGTGGTTGGTTTCATCAGGAGTTGCTATTTTCCACGTTTTAATACCACTCGGGTGTCCGTGATCAACACAGTGCGTTCTGTTAGAACTGGACACTTAAACTCTGGTCAAGTGAGCTCCAGAGATGATCTAACTGTCGAGATTATAGAAGAAAGCACCATATAATTAGACCGCTCATCTGCCTTGACATGTCATGACATAAATTGATTCCGGATCTTTAGTTACCTGAGGACATACATCTTAGATCACTGCATATATTTATCATTCAGGTTTATTGGAAAAAAGAATTACTTTACTTTTAAGTATCACTGGATTTAGTACTGCTAAGCTAACTGGGGGCACTGTAAATTATTCAACTAATATCAGTAAGCACAGTCGAACCTTTCCAATACGTACGTACAGCAAATTAAAAAGCGCCAGAGTTAACCGATCTGTAATAAAGAGTTGTCCGTATTTTGGAGATGTCGGCCAGGAGAGGTTTGTCTGGAAATTAAAAACTCTATTCTTTAAAGTAGGGAAGTCCGAAAATAGTATGGAAATGCTTAAAAATCTCCAGTCTTTGGCGGGGAAAAACACTACGTCATAACAATCACGGCAAACATTTTTGATCTTTTTCACCTTGTGACAGCAGAAGTACATAATGTTGAAAGGATAAATTGAATTGTTTAAAAAAAGATATCGAAAAAATGTAATCCATTTTAAATCAAAGGAGACCTATGGCCAAACTCGTGGATTAGGTAATCTAGAGATGAAACGTATTGGTGAACTTGCAAGTACTGGTGTATTATTAAAACAAGCCGGGTTTGTACCATGCAAGGTCGCTCTTAACCCCGGGGGGCTACTTTGGGAATTTCTGGGTGGGGGTGCGCCGCTGGGACCCTGGAACCCTTAGCCTATACCAGAGCTAGTTCAGCTGAATTTTGCTACCCTATAC